TTTTACTTCCACAGGACAGACTCCCAGAAAAATGGCCTATGTATTTAGGTATTTCAGATTATTTTCTGGAAAGATTGCAGCCCTTCACACTCTTAACGGTTAGTATGTATCTCACATTTTAATTCTGGCTGATCTAAATGGGTAAAAAAATTGGTTAGCTTATTGTTTCTTTCATTTACATTTCCCTAATAGCATAGTTAGTTGGTCATCTTGTCATGTTAGCCATTTGAATTTCCTCTTCTATATGAATTCCCTGTTCCCAGCCTTTGCCCGTTTTTCTGTTTTGTTATCCTTGTGTTATCCATTCATGGGGCTCTTTCAATATTAGCAGTTTTAACCATTTAACTGTCACAGATGTTGCAAATTGTTTCTCTCAGTCTACTATTTGTGTTTGTGGTGGCAATGTTCTTAAAGGTGAAGTTACAACCTTTTGGATCTTGATTTCATGCTTTATCTCATCAAGATAAGAGAGGACAAATGAATGTTGAGGGAGGATGAGGCACAGAGGTCTACCTACTGTCTTTGAACAGTGAAATGATTCTTCTTGTGGCAACTCTTCTTAAAACTCCACTTAATGACCCACCTGCATTACTAAAGTGTCTCTTGTTGGGGTGACTATAGTTGTCTCTTGGATGTCCATGCATCTGCGGGCCGTGGGAGGAGGGCAAATGAGGCTTCTGGGGGTGAAGGCTATGTGGGACATGGGACTGAGACATCAGGGAATCCCGGCTGGAGCCCGAGGCCTCTGGGCGAAATGGCTTCTTAACACCAATCATGTCATCTTTCTTCTTTTGCTCCTGTGGAGTAAAAGGACACCAAAAAATCTCACATCCCAAGCCGAATTCCCAAAAACAAAGATCATCACCTTTGAGTATTTCCCTCTTGCCCCCCTTGGTTTTTGCTCTGTCATCTACTACCTTCTCACCAAAGAGTGCTCATAAATTCCACTGAGTCCCTCCAGCACAACAGCCTCACAGAGCCCCATGTGCTACTCTGGCCTCCCAGGCCAACACCCCCCAACAAGTATCTGTAAGAATATGTGCACAGATGGCTGGATGGCACTGTACCAGGCAGAGAACAGTGCCCAGGCTGTCAGCATTCTCAGAGACTCTATCTGGACTACGTAAACCAAGACCACTGACTTTCTTAGACTAGCTAAAACAAACAACCCAGACAGGTTCAATGGGAATTAGTTCCTATGCCAAAGTCATCACACTAAACATAAATGCTTGAGTAATACCACTTATCATGTAAGTAAAATATTCACATAAAAACAATTGAATATAGTAAGTAAAAAATAAGAAATGTAAAGTGACCAAAAACCTCACCACCAAGGGAATTAATGTTAATAATTTGATCCATGTCTTTCTAAATATGTATGTGTGTGTGTTAGTTTTTTTGACAAAAATACTTGTTTTTTTTTTTCACTTAATGTATTGTGAAAATCTTCTCATGTAAATACTTATTCGCACAATATTATACTTACGGTTGAATAATACTCCCTGGTATGGATATACTATGATCTAATTAATCTATTTGTTATTGTGGGACATTTAAGTCATTCATTTCCACCATAAATATGCTTAAGTCCTTAATTTTCTCACTAAATTCTTTGAAACAGAATTGTATGTTTTAGTCTTTTGATAAATCTCACTGAACTGTCCGCCAGAAGGGTTGTGACAATGTATACCCCCAACTACTTTCGTTTTTCAACTTATACTAACTTCTCATACCTAGACTAATGCAGCCCTTCACCATCATGTGTCCAACTTCAAAATCCTCCTCCTAACTTCCACTCCCTGCTAGAGGGGCCTTTCTCAACTATTTCACTCCTTCCTGGGGCCTGGGCCTTTCCTGACTATTCTTTCAAAGACTTCACAATGTTTACAATTTACATCAATATTCAGCAAGATTAGTTTATTATTTCTATGTGTTCCTGCTATATCACATTCTGCCCTATCAAATTAAATTATCAACTACTTTAGAGTACTACTCCACAGCTCAACATAGGTTGGGCAAGGCCTAAGTTCATGTAACAAATACCTCTGAGCACCTGCCCTGTGCCAGCACTCTGCCAGGCGCTGAGAATACGGCAGAGGATGAGAGACACTGCAGCTCTGCATTCAAAGAGCTCACATGCTAGTGGAGGGGGTACCCAATGTTCAAACTAGCTCTAAATGGCTGCTTTGGGTGGGGCCCCCATGACAAGTCAGAAGACCTGAAAATGGACACAGCCGCACCAGGAACACTGCCCCTACACAAGCAGCCAATGCACCCATGTGCCCACCTCCTGCACCAAAGAAGGAACGGCACTTCTGGATGCCTTCTCAAGTTTGCTCCTTTACACGAGCAGCTGAGACCCTAGATACAGAAGCTGGAAGGACAGCCAGTACCCATGGCCCAGAAAAGAACAGAAAAAGTATTTCCTGCCCCCAAGCCTGTTACCTATCAGGAGATACATTTATAATCTACCATAAGACTGGTGAATAAATGATTGCAGGACATAAGGACACAGGGCAACAACCCCTTATCAAAACTGTCACACTGTTTAGTTCTAATACATCGGCTATTTCTACCCACTAGGTCCTACTGTCAGTTTGACTACTAGAGGAGCATGGTGAAAAACTACAGCTGACACAGTGCAGGAGCACACTATACAAGAAGGGTGGGCCACGGCGGACGCCATCCCCCACTCCAGGGCCTGTACCTCCCCCCTCCATCTGTAAGGTGATGGTGGAAAGCGGGCGACCCTCTGGCACCAATAATCTAGGATTCTACGATCCTCTCCCAAGGGAAAAACAGTAATTTAAGGAGCTTTTCTGTGGAATTGGTTTTTATGTGTATGAATAAGAATTAAATTTGTATTTTACCTCCTCTTCTTGAGCTCTTTTCTTATGAGCCATTTTGTATAACTTATGCAATTTTCGAGCATCAAATTCTGTAAACTTGGAAACAAAAATCCATAGATTCCTAAGGAAAAATAATCAACAATTCTGGTCAGTCATACCAAGGGGGTCAATAAGAAATAATTTCTTATTCTCTTTAGGATGGCAAGCTACTGAACTCTGCTGTGGGGAATCTCCAAGTGCAGAAGGTACAAAAATATTCTTTCAGTTGTTTACATCAGAACACATCTTAGATGCTATGCCAAGAGTCTGATGAGGGCTCTGCAGACCTGGGGTCTGTCCCATAGCTAAGACCCCCTAATTAATATCACAGGCAACCAGGACCCCGGTCCCCAAGTCTTCCTCCACCTCCCTGACTTCCTGCACTCTGCCACACTGTTACCACCATGTCTCAGGTGGGGATACACACACAGTGGGGCATCTCTGCTGCCCTTACTTTTCTCCTGTTATCACCACTCCCTATTAGAAGATAACAAAAGGTCACCCTAGCACATAGGTCCATGAGACTAGGCACCACTAAGGCCCACTGTCTTTCCTTTAACCCCCTCAAGGGCCACCTCCCCTCCAATTCCACTGCACGCACTCTTGCATGGCATTACTAGCAACAGGCTAGTGGATGAAAAGAAGTGTCTAGAACAAGGAAGCCTAGGTTGTCGCGGAGAGCTGAAAATGGAGTCTTACACCCTCCCTTTCATACTTTCTAGAGAGCAGTTTCACTGTGCCAGGCCACTCACACACCACTGAGTGGGCTCTCCTGTAAGACCTCCTATGACAGGGCTTCAGTCATCTTAATAAACAGCCCTTAAACCCTGACATCCTCCGAGCCCCCTCGCTGTCCCTCTTCCGAGCCTTTGCTGCAGCCTGAGCTTCACCTAAGCAAGTCCACTCTGCTCTCCCAGGCCCAGCCCAGGTTACCCCAGCCTGCCTCTCAGAAGAGTCCCCTCCCCTCCCCGACAACTCCCCCACACGTGCTTCCTCCTTCTCAGAGCTCCTGTGATCCTTGGTCTTGCAATTACCACTTCATGATGGACAGTGGTCTCCGGAGTGGACAAGGCCCTTCCAATGAAGTACTGCTAGCTATGACCACAGCACCTGCCCCATTTAAACACAGCCCCAAGTGTACAGTTGGAAACCTTGCCTCATGGACCTATGCACTAGGATGACCTTCTGTTATCTTCTAATAGGGACTGAAAAAAAAAAAGCCAGATGGCTAGGTACAGGAAGAAGTTGGTAACAGTGTAAAAGGGAACAAAAGTAAAATTTCAAAACTTAAATCTTCTATTTTTAATGGGTGTGAAGTTTGCTATGGATACAATCATGACAGAAGTTTTCCTTAAATCCATTTTTCATTCAAAACCAATCCACTGAGATTGGGCATACTATACAAAGATAATTTCATTAACCATGAAGTATATGATTTCAAAGTAACTGTGGATTATGTAGAGACTCAATGCCACAGTTATCTGAGAAATTCCAGTCGTGTTTCCTTAAAATATCGAAAGTGAATTTATAAAGCAATGACACCTTACAAACTGAAATCCTGGATTAACTGCATTAATCCAAATACTACTGAAGTTCTTTACTTATTAGAAAGACTAGAGAACTCATAGTTCTGGTGGTTTAACCTTTGTTTCATCTCGTGTGTTAGTAGAAAGCTAATCAATTGGTTATTATACCTGACTATCAACCTGAGATAGGTGCAATAGTGAGACTAGATGACTTTTATCCCTTCCACATTTATAGTCTGGGTCTTTATTCTGAAAATCAAACAAATCCTGTATCACTCCCTTTCTCTTAAAAAATGACATCACCCAAATTACTTTAAAGGCTGCTTTCAATGGAATGGCTTATTTCAGGAAAATGGAATTGAAGCCTGTAGATACGCTGCCATTAGATGGTTTTAGTTAGGAAAAAAGTTTTCATTAGGTGGCTATGTCACCTTTTATAAAAGAGAAACAAGGCACGCACACACTGTCAAATCAAACGGAGCCATTGAAGGCCATGGCAGTTACCTCCTCCATAGTTTGATGTGCTCCTGGTCTGAGTAAGCTTTAAGGCACTCGGCTATCCGGTCTCCAATTTTCAGCAGGCAGTTCCGGGTGTGCTCCAGCTGTTCTTGCACGCTGAGCCCCTTGTCAGGTTTGTCCAGCTGCTTCAGTGCCTTTTTCACGGGCCTCATCCTCTCCTTGCACTGGAAGAAGCCAATGGAGCAGACATCAACATCTGCAACAGAGATGTCTTCTACTGGCTTACAGCGCTCTGAATTCCCAGAGAAAACAAGGCCCCCCGCCACGCCACGCCACCGCCGGAGGAGCACGACGCAAAGCCAGAGGAACAACTGTGACTGTTAGGCCCAGAAGAACCTGAGGCTCAAGTCCCAGCAGCATCATTCGAGGCGAAGACCTTTTTTACGCCCTCCTGATAAGCCTCTGTGAAAGCTGCCCTGCTTCCTCATCCGCAAGACGTGCATGACGACTCATGAGGCGCCAGGAAGACCAAATGAGAGGCGTCCTGGAACCCTCACACCACAAACTATCTACGCCCGCAGGATAGAGCATTTACATGTCCTTCAGGCTTGTAAGAAACTAAGCGAAAGGCCTTTAAAGACAGATGGTGGGCTGAGCACAAGGATCTTTTTCTCCCCCTTCCTAACCCCACCAAAACAACAGTAAAGGGATTGTCTTAAACAGAGAAGCCCACAGACAGGGACAATGAGAACAAGCACCACCAACCAAATACTAGCAGCAAGGAAATGACAAGAGACCTGAGAAAACTAAATTCTAAGCCAGCAGTGGAAAGAACTGAAGACCAACCAGAGCTGTACTGCAAAATCCCCCCACAAAGGCTGGCCAGGTGCCTCTGCGAGTAGGGTGATGGTTAAAACTAAGGACTGGTTTTTTGTGTGTGTTTTTTCTGGTATCATTAAACTACAATTACATGAGCAACATTATGATTACTAGACTCCCCCCATCATCAAGTCCCCAACACACACCCCATTACAGTCACTGTAAGGACTGGTTTTTTAAAGACTGCTTAAGAGTTAACAGACACCCAGATTCAGGACAGACAGCCAAACCTCCAGAAGATGTGGAGGTTCATTCTCTGCAGAGGGTAAAAAAAGGTCTCTGAACTGGGCTGCAAGGCGGCAGCTGAAAGACAAGCCTGGTGCCCCGGAAACAGAAATGCATGGACGTCCTGAACTGGAAAGCACACTAGATGAGCCAGCGCCTGGGCTTCCGCTTCTCAGAGTCCAGAACCTTCAACCTCCAGTCAGGAGACCCGGGAATTCTTCCCCATAAATCCGAGCGCCCAGAGGATGAACCGAAGATGCTGGTTGCCCACCGGAGGGCTGCCAAGAAGTGGCCCAGCCAGACTGCGCGACAGCGAACTGGCTAGAGCGAACCGTCTCCAAGCGGGTCAAGCCCAACCCACATGCTCAATGCTTCCAGATGTTTAGTCCCCTGCCTCTAATAGGAGCAGACAATTGAGCCACCCGAAAAAATATTTTGACATGAATGATGGAAAAAAAATTATGGGGAAATAAAAAAGCACTCAGAGAACCACAGAGGGGAGATGGTCTTGGAAATAAAACACAAGAGAAATGAAAAGCTCAAAAGAAGTAATGGGAGATAAAGTTGAGAGGATCTCCCAGAAAGTAGTTTAAAAAGCAGAAATGGAAAATAAGAAAAGATAACAATATTAGGGACCACTCCTAGAGTCCAATATCCAAAAACAAGGAGTTCCATAAAGATAAAACTAAGAACTCAAGAGGAAATTATCACAAATTAATTTGAGAAAATTACTCAGACCTGTAAGACATGAATGACTGTCAGCCACTATGTATCTGGTATAATGAATTATCTAAGCACAAGATCATAAATTTCAGAACAATGAAACCTCACAAAGAAAACTCTCATCATTTTGTGGTAATTCTGTAACTATACACTTATGATCTATTCCTTTTTCCAAGTTACACTTCTTTTTTAAAAAGGATAAAAATAAAAATATACCAGAAACTGGGAGACAGTTATAATGACTATAACAGATAGAAAATTAGTATCACGAATAGAAAAGGTAAGAAAAGACAACTTACTCAAAACTCACTGGAGACATGAATGTCCAATAAATATGGCAAAAACTTCAACTCCATCACTAATCAATATATCCCTCAGATATACTGACGATAATCAATACCCCTCAGACTGGCAAAAATTAAGAAGTCAGAAATTACCATATTATTTCCATGAGTGAGAAATACAGGAACTCCCACTCGTTGCTAGAAAGAGTGTGTGAATCTCTACAATTGCTTTGGAAGTAACTCACCACTATTTAACGAAGTAGTACATGTGCATATGCCTCATGAAAACCCAGCAATGCTGCTCAAGCTAAATACACTCTGGAGAAGCCCTTACATCTGTGTATGACAAAATATTTACAACAATCTCACCACAGCCTGTTTTTAATAGTAAACGTTTGGAAAAAAAAAAACAAGTTTACCAATGGGAGAAAGAATGAATTCTGGAAGTCATAAAAACAGAGTAATATGAAACATTTACAGAGACCTAATTATCAACATGGATAAATCACAAAGATACAAATGCTGAGGAAAGAAAAATAAGTTGTAAGAAATATAGTGTGGCATTTATATAAAGTTTTAAAGATGGAAAGTAGTATTATATATAGCTCATTATGGATACATGGGAGACTGTTAATATTAATGGTTAAGAACCCAGGCTCTCATGCCAAATTGTCTGGGTCAAATTGTTGCTCTACATCATACTATGTGATACAGGACAAGTTTAACTCTCTACCTTATTTTTTAATACGTAAAATGGAGAATTGCCTATTTCATACAACTGTTATGGAGATAATACATATAAAATATACAAACAGTGCCTGGCTGTTTATGTGAGCTTATTGCTCTAAAACAAAGTATGTGAATGATAATCAAATTTAAAGTTGTGGTTACTCCTGGGAAGAAGAATTTCATTCTCTGAGTCTTAAAATTTAGATTTGACAAGGCTTTATGGTATGTACATCAATGTTTATTATATTTCTTAAATTTTTGTTTTTTCAACATTTCATAATGTAAAAAAACAAGATTAAATGAGCCAATATGTAAATAAAAACATTTTTAAAAATGGTAGGTACCACAGAAGCATTAGTTAGGATTTCTTCTTATAAATACTGGGCTAAGGAAGAACCAGGAAACAGATCCAATAGCTGTTTAACAGTTAATTCATTTACTCAGTTTACTTACTTACTGATACATATATTTTAGATATACTTCTAACATCTAAATATACCTTACATAAGACACAGTACTTCATCTCAAAGACTTTCAGGAAGAGTAGAATTAAGAAAAATGAAATAAATGTAAAAATACACACACACACACACACACACACACACAAGCATATAGGTTTTTGGGAACACAGACAAAGGGACAGAGAGAGAAAAGACTGCTTTATAGAAGGAGATCAAAGTTCTACCCTTTGCTGCCACAGAGCAGGAGTATTTGCGATCGGGATGGGCACTGCTCTTTGAGGCGGCATTACCTGCTCAGTGAACTGTGCTTCGCTGAAGGTTGGGGAAAGGAAGAGACCACAGAGAGGTGAGGAAGGGAGTCATGAGCAGCACAACGAAACACATGCACGCAGCTGCACTGAGGAGCTATGGTCCCTGAGGATGGGCTGGCCCGTTTCCAGTCTCACGGAAGACCTGGTCCACAAACTCCCTCCCCCATCATCTTCCCTGTTTTGTGTGAGACAGAAAACACCGAAGCCGATGTCTTAGCGCCTACAGTTCCACAGCATGAAGGTACGGCCACGCTCACCACTGCTCCAGGCCACATCCCTTTGCTCCCACCCCCCGGCCGCAGCGCCTTCTGGAGCCTCCTCACCGCAGCACTCGGGCCTCTGTGCCTGCTGCTGCCTTGCGCTGGCTGCCTTCCCTCCCCTCTCCTCCTTTACCTTTTCCCTTCCTTCAGCACCCAATCCAGACATCACTTCCTTAAACATGCCTTCCTGATTTCCCTTGCTGGGTCACATCCCCTTCTCACAGGACCTCTGCCCTCCATAGGCCCATCACTAGGTTTGTACAGTTACTTAGCTCCTCTACTAGAATGTAAAGTCTACAGCGACAGAAACAGTGATCTTTTCAACAGCTGGCACATAGATTTTTCAGTAATTCAGTGTTAGCTCAGTGAACGCTCTGTTCCATAATGCCTCTCAGGGCCCCTGCAGGGTTCCAACTGTAAACACAAGATAGGAAATCCATTCCCTAAACTTCTTTCTCACTAGAGAGCGAGTAAGAACATCTCTTCCCTCCAGCTTGTTCCAGAGCACAAGGTCTTTAGATATTAGAAGTAATGGGTTTAAAAATGACACACTGATATTTAGACCTGCTGAGGCTCTGTGGCTGGACCTATGAAAGGCAGAGCCACAGAAAGCACTGTGGCTGCAGACACCGGAATCTCTCAGTTTCAAGACTTACTATGCTGAATGTCTCCTGGTCCAGATCATCCTCCTCATCCTCTCCAATGGGGACAGGCTCACTTCCTGCTGTAATATGGACAGGACCCTGAGATCGCTTTGATTTACTCGAAGATTTGGCATCACCACCTTTAGGCTTTTAAAAAAGAGTTACAAGGAATCATTACCATTTGTGCCATCCCTGACTTGTAATTTGGACTTCTTGCCTATGTCACATCACCACAACAGGCAACTGTGATGGCCTCAGTTTATAAAGGTAAAATAAAATCTCCTGAGACATCGGGAAGCCAAACCTACACGATTAATGACTTAATCATACATCATTCCTATTTCTGTCTCTAAATGTACCCAATTATAACTTCAACCTCATTAATGCTCTTTTGGCTTCTATTTCCTAAAACCATAAAATGCACAAAAACATCAGGAAGCAGTTAAGATTATAAAATGACAGGGCTTTATAGTCTCATGTGGCAGTTTTTA